GGGCAGTCTCAGAGCGGGAGCCTCTCTCCCTTACCCAGTGAAAGTCATTCTCTCCTATCCCGTCCACCTCACCTGTGGCCACAATCCTGAGACTTTCCCCAGGGAGGCACAGCTCTCCTTGCTGCCCTGTTGCTCCCACAGAAACTCTGTTCTACTTCTCGTACTAGCCTCTGCTCTCTAATCACAGAGGATCCTGTTGTTAAAAGATTCCTGGCCTGGGACAAAGATCTGAGGGTATCGGACAAGGTAAGGTTGCTCTCCAGGGAACTGCGTTCCTGCTCCAACACACAGCCTGGGGGAGGGTGCAGGTTCCACATGCACAGTTTCACTCCTCTCTCCCTCCACCATCTCCCACCTGATGCTCTCTGTCTTTAGGGTTTTTGTTCTTTTTTTGTTTTTTGTTTGTTTGTTTGTTTGTTTTCTGAGACAGGGTCTCACTCTGTTGCCCAGGCTGAGGGCAGTATCATGATCTTGGCTCACTGCAGCCCCAACCTCCCAGGTTCAAGCAATTCTTCTGCCTCAGCCTCCCAAGTAGCTGGGATTACAGGTGTGCACCACCACGCCTGGCTAATTTTTGTGTTTTTAATAGAGACAGGGTTTTGCCATGTTGGCCAGGCTGGTCTTAAACCCCAGACCTCAGGTGATCTGCCATCCTTGGCCCCCCAAAGTGCTGGGATTATAGATGTGAGCCACTGTGCCAGGCCAGCTCCCATGGTCTTGAGTCTTGGTGCCCACCTTTTTTTTTTGAGACACAGTCTAGCTCTGCTCCCCAGGATAGAGTGCAGTGGCATGATCATAGCTCACTGCAGCCTCTAATTCCTGAGCTCAAGCAATCCTCCTGCCAAAGCCTCCTGAGTAGCTAGGACTACAGGCACATGCCACCATGCTCAACTAATTTTTGTAGAAACAGGATCTCACTATCTTGCCCAGGTTGTTCTTGAACTGTTGGGCTCACATGATCCTCCTGTCTTGGCCTCTCAAAGTACTGGGGTCACAGGCTTGAGCCATTACTCCTGGCTATTCTCGGTCTTATTATGATTTGTCAGCATCTCCCTGGGGACTCTGTTGGTCTCTTGCAGAGTGAGTGAGTGGCCCTTGCCTCTCCTACGGGTCCTT